TCAAGTTTATGAAATAGCCAGCCTGCTAGGGAAAAACCTAACCCATTAACAACTGCTCCTATAGATGTTGATAATCCACTAGTAATAATACTTGTCATATATATTTATACAGATTTAAATGGATTTTCAGGAACCCATTTTTTGTCTTGAGCATATTTATTTATCATTGTTGATACTGTAACAGCAACAACTAGTTTAACAAAATCTTTGATACTGTTTGTGTCTATTAATTTTTGATTTAGTAGTTTTTTAGACGCTATAGAAAGACCTACAGCAGTTGTTGTCACAAGCACTGCATCAAAAGCTTCATTCATAAATTGTTTCTTAGTCATAGTATTACTCATATATAATAGGAAATATTTTATTCAAATGAGTCTAAATTATATTGTCTATTTTTTTGTATCAAAACATGTTTTTCACCAGTTGTTTCTTCTCTCGCTTTATCGTTTGTTAATTTTTCCTGTCTCTTATCATCTTTCCGTGTATAATAGAGAAAAGCAATAGCAGTTAATACTCCAATAGTTCCAAATAAAAATCCGTAATTAATATTCCAGCTATCATCCTCAATTTTCTTTTTATTTTCTAATTCAATCATATCTCGCATCTTTTTTTCTTTAGAAGCTTTCGATATAAGAGCTAAGCGTTTACCAGCTTGAACTCTAAGAGGGTCTTTCTCTTTTTTAATTGTAAATATTTTTAGGTTTTCTTCAGACATATTATATAATACTGTAGATTTTGTTCACAGATAACTTATAGATAACTCACAGATAACTCACAGATAATCTTATAGATAACTCACAGATGTTTATATTTTTTGTTATATTTACTCACCATACCATTTATAGGAGGACAAAAGTCAATTATAATATCATCGATAACTTTTATGTCTGATAGTAATATCACTTCATTGTAAGCTAATCCTCTTAAATAAGATCTTATAGCCATAAGTATTTTTTCATATGATGTATATGCAAATTTAGACATTTCTAAGTTATTATTAATCTTACTCTTAACTATATAACCTTGAACTAAAGCACCTAGACCACTCAGGGTGGCTATAACTATCGGGTTTACGGTTATACTACCAAAAATACCAGCAGTCGAGACTAGAAAAATACTTCCCATGTTTAATAATAGTCTAATTTTATTTAATTTATTATACTTCCATTTATAACAGGTATACATCTTGTGATAGTATAAATACAATTTTTTCAGCTTTTCAAATTCCTCTTGACTCAACTCACTCGAAATATGATTAAAGTCTATAACTTTTTTCATATTATATTATAAGACGTATTTAATTAATATAAATGATGATAGCGTTGATATACCGAGTAAAGTAATAATATCTGTTTGATGGGGATTATTTACTATCATTTTTTTATGTTTATGTACTACTGGTTTTTTATACACTTCATCTAGAGTATCTAGGTGTTGTGAGGGTGCATTATCTTGATGTACTTTTTTTAGTTCTTCCTTTTTAACTCCATAATAATTTATTTTAGAATTAATACCGAATTTCATAGTTTTATTCGCTAATGTTAAAATATTATTATACCCATCAATCTTTTTATCTAATATGATCATACGGCTAGGTATTAAAATCATACCAGGACTTATTGCCATATTTAAAATAACATTCGTGTCTTTTATACTCTTTCTCATGTTAGATATCAATACAGTCGTATCATTCTGTACTATAGTATCCTCTACTAATTTTCTAAAAACATTTTGGGTTTGCATGCTCTTAGCTCCATTATTAACTATTGGCCATCTTGTATCTGCTTGGGCTCCTAGAATTGTATAAACAAAACTTTCAATACTCTCTAACAAAAGAACTTTTCCGATTTTTGTAATACCTTCAGAATTATATGCAATGAAGCTCTTATAATCAGTAGTTGAATATTGAAAATTAACATAATACCCATCACCGTCTTTATTGAATTTTAAAATACCTTTATAAGGTATATGCTTTTTCAATTCCGTAAAGTCATATTTGTCTAACAACGATGGATGCTTCATAAATTTTTGAATAGTAAAATATAAATGATACTTAACAAGGCTTTGTATAATTCTACTTTTATCAAAATTTAAATGATTAAGCCCAATAGCGCATAAAAAACTGCCAACATATGCCCCACAAATCATAGCGTAGTACGCTTCTTTTTTATAATTTAAATGACTTTTAATATTGTATCTTATACCAGTCGGCTGTTCTTTTTTACTTTTAATTTCACTTGTCCATGTGACTGTTATAGGTGGTAAACTACTCATAAAATAATCATTCTCTGTCACATACAATCTGAAGTTACAGATATCGACATTTACCGGCCTTTGAAATGTAGGTTTTACATTAAAGTTTGAGGACCATCAATGTAACATATGATCAAAATACTCCTGGCTATGACCTTCATCCCCATTAACAGCTGCTATGAGATTTGAAAACAAAGGCGTTTTAGTTGTTTCTAAATATATTTTTGGCCATGTTGTATATGATACATGTTTTAAATCATCATCGCCTAATTTTATAGCATTTTCTTCTATTTGCTTGTTTGACATTTAATATAAGCTATGTTATATATGAAAAAGTTCACTGTTTTTATAAACGGAGATAGTACAAAAACTAACTTACAAGAAAGTATAGTAACATCTAACTATTCATATTTATATATCAAAAAAGCTTATGTGTATTGGGAATATAAAAATGTGAAATTAAATAATACTTTAGCTTTTACAATAGGCACTATAAAATATAATATAGATGCTGGTTACTGGACTTTTAAAATGCTTAAAACGTTTTTTGAGTCTGTTAACGTAAAGCTTGAGATGGTAGAAAACAACGGAACTTGTAAAATAACTAATAATAATGACGAGGTATTAGTATTGTCTGATACTCTTATTAAAATGTTAGGTTTTAATGATACCATAAAAACTATGAAAAAGGTATCGTACAAAATGGTGTTTCTAAAGTGGATATAAACAGAGGATTAAAGTGTATGCAAATTTATTCTAATATTGTAAATTCAAGTTATAATTATAACCCTGAAGGAAAAAAAAGTAATATAGCTTTAACTTTACCAGTAATAACAATTCAGTCGTTATTTGGTACTGTATACGAATACAACGATATTGAATCTAAAGTTACAATTATAAAAGGGTCGTTTAATGAGCTAATATTTAATATATTAGATCAAGATGGCAACCCTGTGAATGTAGGTAGTATTCTACTTGAATGTTATCTTGAGTAAGTTAAATGGATGAAGACATTAAAATTGAGCAAAGTTTAAGAGATATATATTATGATCCACAAACAGGATATCAATCAGCAGAACGGCTGTATCAGAAGGCATTAGAAGAAGGTATAGATGTCAGTAGAAAACAGGTTAAAGAATGGTTGATATCTCAAGATACATACACTAGATATAAACCTATTATTAGGAGACATAAATTCAGACAAACAAGGGTAAACTATCTTGGTGAACAAATACAAATGGATTTAGTTGATATGGGTTCTTATAAGTATAAAAACAATGGTTATTATTGGATATTAACAGCTATTGAAATATTAAGTATATATGCATTTACTATCCCTGTTTAAAGGAAAGACACAAACAATATGACAAAAGCTGTTGCAAAACTATTAAGTCAATTTAAAGATAGATTTAATGATTACCCGAAACTAGCTCAATTTGATAATGGTAAAGAATTTTATAATTTAGGTGTAAAATTATTATTAGAGAAACATGGAATTAAGTACTTCTCTACTAAAAATGATAAAAAAGGCTGCGATTGTCGAACGATTCAACAGAACGCTTAAAACATCTATGTGGAAATATTTTTACAGTAAAGGAACATATAAATGGATTGATATATTAGATGATTTAGTATATAATTATAACAATACAAAACACAGTACAATCTTTATGAAGCCTAAAGATGTTAATAAAAATAATGAAGATGAAGTATGGAATACATTATACGGTCATGAATTTGCTTATTTACCATTACCTAAGATTAAAATTGGTGATATGGTTAGAATATCAAAGTATAAATATATATTTACGAAAGGCTATGAAGCAAATTTTACAGAAGAGTTGTTTAAAGTGACTAAAGTTATTAGAGGAGATCCGAATTTATATGTGATAGAAGATTTAGAAGGAGAGCCTATAATCGGTAAATTTTATGAAGAGGAACTATCAGTTGTGAATAAGAAAGATGATGTTTATAGAGTTGAAAAGATATTAAAACGTAAGAAGGTTAAAGGTAAAAAGATGGTTTTAGTTAAATGGTTAGGTTATGATAATAAGCATAACAGTTGGATTCCTGAAAGTGAAATACAAAATATAGAGTAATCTATATAATGGCAGAAGGAGGTTTTGATTATATTGAATTAGAAGATAATAAGCAAGAAGATAATAAGCAAGAAGATAATAAGCAAGAAGATTGGCAAAATTTTCAATTTATTGATGAAACATCATTTACCGACGATAATTATGGTGTAACAATAAGAAGACAGACAAATAAAAATAATACTCTTCCTGATGTTCCTATTAATTCCACTCCTATTTATACAGATATTGTTAGACCTGAAAATAATGTTTTTTTGCTGTTGAATCTTTTATTAAAAAATATAAAAAAGAGTTTAGATTTGATAACTTAAAAGGTATGGCAGCTTCTGAAGCTTTAAATTTTAGATTAAATTTAGATAAAACTAAGTCGAATCATATTACTTACAAACCATTAAATGCAAAAAATAATCGAGGTAATAGTATAATTGTTTTAAAACGTAATAGTAATGGAATACTACAATATAATAAAAATACAAATGCTAAAGAAGCTGTTAAACAATTTAAAAACGAAAATAAAAGAATTATTAATTTGCAAGATGAATTTATAAAAACTGAAGAGAGTATGCCTATGGTTGATTTAAATAATCAATATACAGAAAATTTCAATCAAATAACTAATGAAGAACTTAGAGAACATAAAGGTGTGATGACCCCCTCTGGAACTATTGATAAAAGAACACGACCACAATTCATAGAAGCACAAATAAATCACTTTGCTGAAGAGCTAAACAAAACTCAAGCTAGAATAGATGAAATAGAAAATGAAAATAGTATTAACAACAATATTGATGAATTAATTAATTTGCACGAAAGAGCTTCGGAATTAGAAATTATAATTAGAGAAGAAGAATATCAATTAGAAAAAGAGGATGTACGAGATAAACAGGAAGAAGACATTACTAGATTGCAACAGTTTAAAGAATGGGTTAAGAAAAATATCCCAGGATTATCAGCTTTATTTATATCTGTAGCTGGTATAATTACAACCATTGTCATTGGTGCAAGAAAAGCAATCCTACAAGGTGCTCAAGCTACTAGTAAATTTTCTCAGGCTTTAGCAAATATAGGTAAAAAATTATGGCCAGTATTAGGACCATTATTGAATATTATCGCTCAGGCTATATCTTGGGGAGCTAAAGGTCTAGCATTGGTAGCTTCTAATCTTTGGGTTTTAGCTATTGCTGTTGCTTTGTTGATATATGACCAGTATCAACAAAGAAAAAAATAAAATATGTTTTAATATATATATGAACAGATTACAAGAAGAGCTTTTACCCGGTTATAAAAGGACTACTATGACAAAAATTAGAGGAAATAAAACTTGTTATAGTATTACTTTCAACCCAAATAGTGTTAAACCGAATGAACAAATATATGTAAATATACCAAAATTAAAACCAAATAGTTGCTTAGTGCCTGGTTCGCTTAATCTATCGTTTGATCTTAAAATCAGTAATACAAAAAGTCACTTTCTAAATAATCTCAGTCAGATTTTACAACATAGACTAGTAGTATAGTACATGGGGGTAGGGGATCAAAAAAAGTTTACTTTTTTTTATCCCATACATGTGTATATACTATATAACCTGGGTAAAACTATCTTTATAACAACGTAAAATAAGACCATGGTTCAAAGACGTCCCTCTGGTAAAAGGTCATGTAAAAAAGCTGTGTAAAAAATAGTCATTGTTTCAAAGGGGGTAAAAATCTCGAGGTTACAATTAATCGTTTAAAAACGGTCTTTACAAACAAATGTTAAGAAAGCATCGGTTCGGAGGGGACTCGGCAGCACAGATCACGAAGTGATCGAGCAGGGGAATGGAGTCCCCGAGAATTCTGGAACCCAGGTGGGGAAAATTTTTCACGAAGTGAAAAATTCGGGGTTCCCCCGTAGATTCGATGAATATTCGAAGAATATTCGAGAATAACAGAGGCTTAAAAAATGCTCTTCAAAAAACCGTCTTTAATAATCAAGTGTTAATAATCAAGTGTTATTAAAATATCAGTATCAGCGATAGCTGGTTTTGTAGCGGCGCGCGTGTCTTAGTGCATGTTTTTAACAATGGTCTTAAAACTCAGCGCGTGGTAGAAATATTCTTTAATAATCAAGTGTTAATAAAGCATCTTTTTAAATCGTTGTTAGGGGCGAAGAATTTCAGGCAACTAAGCCTGAAATTTTGAGCGCAACAATGTCATAGATGCTCTTTAAAAAACTATGGAATCTATATGTTTTTTTAATTTGTCTGTCAAGCGTGTGTCACATGTACATGTTTAACAATGTTTTATATAATTTTTGTTAAAAGTGTTTTTACTAATTGTTTCAGGATTTTGAATCTTTTTGTATATCGCTTTTGTATTAATTACTTATTACAAACAGTTATTAGTCAAACATGAGGATTATTCTTCATCTTAAGTTTTAGCTTGATAGTTATTTTTAATAAATTTTTTTAATTTTTCGATTTCATCATTTACAAATTTTTTAGTTGATAGAATATTATCTTCTATAGTAGCCCTAAAATTTTGTGAAAAACCATTAAATGACATAGATAATGTAGATTGATGTTGTGAATAAACTTTAATTTTGGTTAATTTATTAAATACTGCCAGCCATTTTCTTTTCCATTCGTCATAACCTAGTGAAACTGAAGATTTTGTTGGTTCAATAATTAATAAAATATTTTTTGAATCATCATCAACACAGTATACGTGATATAAATCTATTAATGCATTAACTATCTTTTTTTCATTATCATTTGTTACTTTAATGATAAATTTTTTTTTAATCTTATCTGCCATCATATCTAATTTAATTGTTTTAGAGTTATCAGATGGATTTATTAATAAAAGTGTAAATTCAATAAATTTAACATTTTTAAAATAAATTCTGATAATATCTTGTCGGGTATTAAAATTTTTATAATTTAATTGATTGCTATGGTGTACTACTTTACCATTTACTCTGCTATCAATCTCATTTTTTGTATAATAGTTAGTTAAATTAGAAGTTAAAGCATATTTATTATCTGTTTCATTTTTGGTATAATATTTATTTAAATTAGAAGTTAAAGCATATTTATTATCTGTTTCATTTTTGGTATAATAGTTGGCTAATCTTGAAACAAAAGCATATTTATTATCTGTTTCATTTTTGGTATAATATTTATTTAAATTAGCAGTCAAAGCATATTTATTATCTGTTTCATTTTTGGTATAATAGTTGGCTAATCTTGAAACAAAAGCATATTTATTATCTGTTTCATTTTTGGTATAATATTTATTTAAATTAGCAGTCAAAGCATATTTATTATCTGTTTCATTTTTGGTATAATAGTTGGCTAATCTTGAAACAAAAGCATATTTATTATCTGTTTCATTTTTGGTATAATAGTTGGCTAATCTTGAAACAAAAGCATATTTATTATCTGTTTCATTTTTGGTATAATATTTATTCAAATTAGCAGTTAAAGCATATTTATTATCTGTTTCATTTTTGGTATAATAATTATCTGATAGATGTGTTTTATCTACAGGTCCTTGTATATTTACATTAATATCTGTTTTATCATGCCCATAAAATAAGCTCATTTATATTATTCCTCAGATTTTATATCCTGTTTATTATTTTTATGTTCATAAACATGTTTAACGGTTGTTATACACCCAGATAAAAACCCTAAAAAAGGTAACAATGGTGATACTTTTTCTACTAAACTATACACATCTCGTTTTAAAAGGTCGTCTGATTTAAGCTGTTTTGTTAATTCTTTTGAGTCTTCAATAGCATCAAACCCTTTTAATATATCTGAAAATTTTGATATAACTAAATCAGTTAAAAACTCATTAGCTTTTTGTAATCGTTTTTTCTCGTATTCAATGTATAATTTATCAATAATTTTTTGACTAGCTTTTTTAATGTAAGCAACTGACTTGTCTAAATCACCATCTTCAGCTAGTTTAAGTAGTTGATCTCTTTTATTAAAACCCTCTTGCGGTTTATCTTGTATATTATCATCACATACAGCATCTTTGATAGTATCATTTGCGGAATCAATCTCATTAATTATATCATCAATTGTTTCAGGCTCTTTACGCTTTGGCATATATATATATAACACATGTTTTATTGCAGAATAACTATTTTCCATTGGTATGGGTATACAAGTTGGATTTCTAAATGTGCATACTTATTATTTTTCAATTTTTTGGTTATTTCTTCTATATCATCTTTTTCAACACCATAAAGATAATCATCAAATTTGGTTTTCATATCATTGCGGTTTGTATTATAAAATGTAACTAAATAACTTATATTTTCGCGATAAGGTTTAGAAATACTAGTCAATTGCTGTGTCACCACAATAGTAAAAAGCCCATAATGACGAGCACTGAATGCTAAACGAACTAATTCAGAAGTCCTATTTTTAACATCATGCGAACAAGCTACATCGTCTAATATAATAAGACTATTTGTACCTTTATATACATCACTAACATATTTTAAAACAATATCTACCTGATCTTGGTCACATTCTACCTTAATTAAATCAGAATCATTTATATATTTCCATTCTTGATAGGTTTTATTATATGATAGCGTTGGGCATAATAAAATAATATAATCAAAATGTCTATTAAAGTTTTCTTCTAACATTCTTAAAAGAAAGAAGGTTTTGCCGCAAGCTGTCATACCTAATATAATCATATTAAAGGGTGTGTTCATTTATATATTACTGGTTATTCTAGTATTGAATACTTTGTAAATCATTATTAACAAATTGAACAAGAGCATCACTGATAACATAGATGTAACAGTTTAAATCTTTTGTATATGCTCTTTTTTTAATTTCAAGCAAAACGCCATTTTGAGTATTAATGATTTTTTTACCGTTACCAGCAATATTTTTTTCTTGAAAGGTGCGTAGATCGATAACTAATGCAAATTTATCCTTATAAAATTTTTCAATTGTCATGAAGCAATCTATCGGAATAGTTCTATCAAAAAATTTTCTTGCTTCTTCATAAAATAGTGTTTTATTCATACCTTGGTTGAAAAGGCAATTGGGGATGCCTTCTATTGTCACTTTAACTTCATCAATTAATGGAAATTCAAATTTTTCGCTATCACTAACTGCATTTTCTTTGAATAGCAGTACAATACCTTTCATACTTTTACGAGGGACATTTACGTTTATATTCTGTAATGTACTTGACTTATCCCATTTTTCCTTTTTTAAAAGGGTTATATGTTCATAAAATAGACTCCTCCCTTGAGAATATAAATTTGTAACCTCATCTGCAATTTCTTGATTTTCAATAGTTTCATATTCCAGCTGAATATTTTCTAATTCGTAATTACCTATATTTTGACCGCTTTGGGGGATAAGGACTTGATCACTTGGTGGTAATGTTATTATGTATTGAGGGTTATTATTCATATAGTAAGGGCAATACAACCCATGGTCTTGAATAATATTATCAATATTAATTTTCTGCCTTGTACCATAAATATCATACATTAATTTGTCTGCTACTTTTTCTATACTTCCACTTGTAGCACCACTATCATCCTTAGAAATAAGTTTTCTTAGATTTTGACTACATATGCCATATTCAATAAGGCCTTGTCGATCACTTTTAGGTAACCACAAGTCTTTGTATACACTTATAATATTATGTTCACTACAATCGTAAAGGGTTTCCCCAGCCACTTTAATTTGTAGTCTATGTTGTAAAATCTGACTGAGATTATTTATAAAGTGACTTTTTGTATTACTTATTTTAAGATCAAACGATAGATTAAGTGAACCAGGCACTAAGCAACTATTTGCTTTCAATTTCGGAATATTAATATAAACTTGTTCATTCGGTTTAAGACTATTAGGGTTAAAGGTTATACTATAAAAAGTACGGTTACCTTTAATTTTTGTCATAGCAGTCTTTTTATAACCAGGTAAAAGCTCTTCTTGTAATAATCTATTCATATATATTAAAACATATTTTATTTTCTTCTTTGTTTATACTGATCATATATTAACAAAGCAGCAGCAATAGCTAAAATCCATAGATTAGAAGCTAGCCATGCTAAACCTTTAGCTCCCAAGATATAGCCTGAGCGATAATATTCAATAATGGTCCTAACACTGGCCATTTTTTTACCTATATTTGCTAAAGCCTTAGAAAATTTACTAGTAGATTGAGCACCTTGAAGGATTGCTTTTCTAGCTCCTATGACAATGGTTGTAATTATACCAGCCACAGATATAGCTAAAGCTGATAATCCAGGTATATTTTCCTTAACCCATTCTTTAAACTGTTGTAACCTAGTAATGTCTTCTTCCTGTTTCTCTCGTACATCCTCTTTCTCTAATTGCTCTTCTTCTTCTTTAATTATAATTTCTAATTCCGAGGCCCTTTCATGCAAATTAGTTAATTCATCAATATTATTGTTAATACCATTTTCATTTTCTATTTCATCTATTCTAGCTATAGTTTTGTTTAGCTCTTCAGAAAAGTGATTTATTTGTGCCTCTATAAATTGAGGGCGTGTTCTTTTATCAATAGTTCCAGATGGTGTCATAACACCTATATGTTCTCTAAGTTCTTCATTAGTTATTTGATTGAAATTTTCTGTATATTGATCATTTAAATCAAGCATAGGCATACTCTCTTCAGTTTTTATATATTCATTTTGTAAATTGATAATTCTTTTAATTTCGTTTTTAAATTGTTTAACAGCTTCTTCTGATTTTTTTGTTTTATTGTATTGTAGTACTCCATTACTATTACGTGTTAAAACAATTCTTCACCCGCTCATTTTCTTGTATTTAATGGTTTGTAAGTAATATTATTTATATCAGTTTTACCTAAATTTAATCTAAAATTTATACCTTCATAATTTGCCATACCTTTTAGTTGATTAAATCTAAACTCTATAATTTTTGTAATAAAATTTTCAACAGCAAAAGAAACTTCATTTTCAGGTCTATTAATATTTGTATAAACAGGGGTGGAAGTAGGAACATCAGGAAGATTATTAGTTTTATTTGTCTTTTTTCTTATTGTTACACCAAAATTATCAGTAAATGATGTTTCATAATATTCATTATAATCGTTATCATCTTCATTATTATTGTTATCATCTTCATTATTATTGTTATTATCTTCTTGCTTATTATCTTCTAATTCAATATAATCAAAACCTCCTTCTGCCATTATATAGATTACTCTATATTTTGTATTTCACTTTCAGGAATCCAACTGTTATGTTTATTATCATAACCTAACCATTTAACTAAAACCATCTTTTTACCTTTAACCTTCTTACGTTTTAATATCTTTTCAACTCTATAAACATCATCTTTCTTATTAACAACTGATAGTTCCTCTTCATAAAATTTACCAATTATAGGCTCTCCTTCTAAATCTTCTATCTCATATAAATTCGGTCTCCTCTAATAACTTTAGTCACTTTAAACAACTCTTCTGTAAAATTTGCTTCATAACCTTTGTAAATATATTCTAACCATATCACCAATTTTAATCTTAGGTAATGGTTCACATATTCCATCTTCATTCATCATTTCATCAAGATTGTACTGTGTTTTGTATTGTTATAATTATATACTAAATCATCTAATATATAAATCCATTTATATGTTCCTTTACTGTAAAAATATTTCCACATAGATGTTTTAAGCGTTCTGTTAAATCGTTCGACAATCGCAGCTTTTTTATCATTTTTAGTAGAAAAGTACTTAATTCCATGTTTCTCTAATAATGATTTGACACCTACATTATAAAATTCTTTACCATCATCAAATTGAGCTAGTAATGGGTAGTCATTAAATCTATCTTTAAATTGACTTAATAGTTTTGCAACAGCTTTTGTCATATTATTTGTGTCTTTCCTATAAACAGGAATACTAAATGCATATCTACTTAATATTTCAACGGCTGTTAATATC